TGCTACTTACACTTTTATAAATTACGTATCTTCAAAATTTTATGGTTGTATTAGAAACTATATTAATTTTATTTAGTTTTCATTAGTAACTATATTAATTCTAAGTGTTTATCAACATGATTATGATTTTTTACACTATGTAATTATTTTTATTTATATGAATAACAGTTCTTTTACAGATTTATAAAAGTTTTGAGCATTGATTGTTATTTTGTATTTGAGACTGCTGTTAAAAAAACACTACATAAACATAATTGAAATGAAGAGAAATCAAAATTAATTGAAAAAATAATCAGGTATTTCAATTGTAGTCATATGTTTAATAAAGTATTTTTTTATTTATTTAAAATGAAAAGTTGTTTGAAATTAAATCAAGAGAAAACTTATAGTTTTGAATTCAATTATATATCAAATTTAGTTAAAACAAAAATATTTTTTTTATAATATTTTGAAAGTTGATGACCAATAATGATTTATTTACAAATATTAAGTTTTATATTAACAATTGATTTTCACATATATCAATTTAGTAAATTTTTTTAAATTAAATCAGAATATATTTTTTGAATATGTGAAAATCTTTTCGATGTATAACCACATCAAAACGATATTGAAAATCAAATAGTGTATTTAAAATATTATTTAAGTGAAAATAATTTAACTTAAATAATAATTAAAATAATTATGAAAACAATATGCGTGTAGGACGCAAACATCCCTAATAGTTTAAAAAATCATGTATTTACATCACATTTTTTATTTAATATTTTTATATATAACCTTTTTAACACTATAAAAAGGCACTTTAAAGAATTGTGTATTATTACTTTCAGTTTTCTTATTTTTTCTATTAATTAAAAATATTTTTAAAAATTGCATATTTTTATCATAATTAGTTTGCACATTTCTATTTATAGCTTATTGTTAATAATTCAAAAAATAATTTTTTCTGATAATTATAAATTGTTTATGAGGTTTACATATTTTTTTATTTTTTTTATAATTATTTTAAATAAATTTCTTTTTAATCTTTAATTATTATTTCTAGTTAAACAAAGTAACACATGAACATTAAGAAAACCAATCAGATCATTTTGATTCACAAAGGATAGCATAAAAAATTCAAACTCAGAAAGCAGACGAACCAGTTAAGGAAGTGCTCTCCGGCAATGTTTCCCACATCGGCCAAAGCTTGGCTCCATTTTCGCCTGTCTTCCTCCGTTCTGCGGCGACAAGTTTCACTGAAAGCTCTCCCGAATTCTCCGGTCTGTTTCCGAACATCCGATGGATCTACGCCGTAGAAGACCGTCATCACAATTTGCCCAATATCTTGCTTGCACTTGAAGATCTCCACCAATTCATCCAAACACCATCCTGAAGAAGCATAGTTCTTCGTGAGCACCACGATCGAGATCCTCGATTCCTTAATCGCTTGAGTGATAGCAGGAGCGATGGTTTCACCTCTCTCGATGCCTTGATCATCGAACATCGAAATCCCATTGCAGCTGAACTGTTTGCGTAAATGACTGAGAAATGTTTTACGGACGTCGGGGCCGTGGAAACTCGTGAAGACGCTGTATCTCCAGGTGCGAGGCCGAGAAGAATAGGAAGAGGAAGAAGCCATGAGAGATGTTATCGTGATTGATTCAAAATCACTGATTCACAGTGATGCGTTTTGGATGAATAAAGCCATAAATAAGAGGAGAAAATGGCAAACGCGTACGCTTACTGTTGATTGTTGACTCTTCTGACTGGTTATTGAGATCGAGAGATGACTCTTTTCGCTCATTTTTATTCATACTTTGTGAACGTCTATTTACTAACAAAGTCAACTTGCTCACAAATTCGTTACAAACGAAGTCAACTCGTTCACAAAGTGTGAATAAAAACGAATCCATACTAAATGAAAGGAGGAGTTGGGCTCTAAAGCCATCCACCTCAGTTTTTTTAGAAGTTTTCTAAACTTGCCACATCAGCAGACCTATGATAAAAATAATTGTTTAATATATTTATAACTTGTTTAAATTTAAATAGTATTTAATCAATAATAATAGTAATACTTGAATATTGGTTAAATCGTATGTACTAATACAACAAAACATATAACTTTATTTTAACAAAAAAAAATTTCATAACTTATATTAATAATAATCACACTTTAAAACTAAAAAAAATTGATAAGATATAATATTATGAGGTATAGAGTTCATCCACACAATAATTAAAAGCACCAAATACGTATGATTATGTACATGCTATTACCTTTGTTTTTGGCTAAATATTTTTAGGCATATATTAAATTAATTACAACATAATATGAACCATCGTTATGGTCATATGAGAAATAGACTTGCATAATTTTATATTTAACATTAATATATTACACTTTTATATTTAAAAATAGTATATATATTTTTTTATATAAAATAAAATTTCATGAAAACATCTCTAACCATCTACATCAACAAAAAAAAAGAATTTTCTTACAAATTCAACATGTAAGGAAAACTAATATGGTTTTTCTGGTTAAGAAACTCTTTTAAAAATAAAATAATATCTATTATTAATTTAATTATAAAGGTTTATTAAAATATATATGTAGTGTAAGAAAAAAAATGTAAGTTAAATTGCAAATGCAAATGAGCTTTTTACAATTTTTGAGTTTTGAGAAACTAGACATACTTTGTTCAATAGAATGAGTTAGTATAAAGTTTTATTTGTATATGTATTACTTCTTTATTCATCTATAATTATATACTTTACATATGCTTCAGAGACCAAATCAAAATTATAGTTTATCAAGATGATTGTGATTTTGTATAATATGTAAATATTTTAGGTATATATTAAATTAATTATAGTATAATATAAATCATCGTTATAGTCATGCATATAAAAAATAGACTTGCATAATTTTATATTAACCATTAATATATTACACTTTCATATTTAAAAATACAATATACATTTTTATGTAAAAGAAAATGTCATAAAAAATCTCTGACCATCCACATCAACAAAGAAGAAATTTCTTACAAACTCAACATGTAAGAAAAAATAACATGGTTTGTTTTTTTGGTTAAGATTTTTTTTTAAAATATTATGATATATATTATTAATTTAATTATAAAGGTTTATCAAAATATATATGTAGTGTAAAAAAATATCTAAGTTAAATTACAAACAAATGCAAATAAACCTTTTATACCTATTGAGTTTTGAGATACTCGACATACTTTGTTCAATCGAATGAGTTAGTATGAAGTTGTATTTGTATATTTATTACTTATTTTATTCATCTACACTTTTATAATTTACATATGCTTTATGGATCAAATCAAAATTGCAGTTTATCAATATGATTATGACTTTCTATAATATGTATATGTTGCTTTTATTATATGAACAATAGTTTTTTAAGGATTTGTAAGAGTTTTGAATATTGATTGTTGTCTTGTATTTAAGACTGCTAAAACAAAAAACTACACAGACACAATTGAAATGAAAAGAAATCCAAATTAATTGGAATAATAATCAGATGGTTCAGTTGTAGTCATATGTTTAATAATTTTTTTTTAAATGAAAAAATGTTTGAAATTAAATAAAGAAAAACTTATAGTTGTTGAGTTCAATTATATATCAAATTTATTTAAAACAAAAATAATTTAAATAATAATTTGAAAGTTAGTGAAACAATGAGTTTATATATCAAATTTAGTTAAAAAAAAGTAATTTAAATAATATTTTGAAAGTTAGTGAACAACAATGAATTTATATATAAATATTAATTTTTAAATTAACAGTTAATTTTTATATATATCAAATTAGTTAATTTTTAAATTAAATTATAATATATTTTTAATTACGTTAAATTTTTTAAAATGTATAACCACATCAAAATAATATTAAAAATCAAAATATATATTTAAAATATTAATTTAAAGTTCAAATTTAACTTAAATAATAATTACATATTTATAAAAATAATCCGCGCGTAACACGGAAACATCTCTAGTTATCATTACAAACAAACAAAGAAAGGAAAAAAATCAGATATTTCGTCTAATTTTTTTATTTTTTTTTTCATATTCAAGACTTAACTTTTGGCAATTTACGAGAAGCTACAACCTTGTTGATATCTGTTAGCTTGGGGTTGAATTATAATTAACCAACCAAGTTGTTTTCAAGTTTGGAGTCTGGTTTTTATTGATCCCATAAAAAATTTCTGGTTTTACTAACACATGTACAGTTTGGAGTCTAATTGAATCTTTTCTGCTTTACAGGAGTTTTCATGGAAAGTCATACTTTAGAGCGAAGGTTCATCAGAGAAATTATCATCTCATGACTGTGTCAAAGCAGAACAACGATCAAAGACTTTATAGCTTATTATTAAACTGTTGACAAAATAAAAAGCTTATTATTAAACTATACAAAAGAACACTTGAAATTTGAAAGCAAACTCAAGAGAAAAACCAAAAATTAAGAAAAAGAAATATGCTCTGCTAGTGAGTTGATGATAGATACATTGGTTATCATGAACTTGTACGATTCGTTTTTACTGGGTTTAAAGTCTTTGTCATCGAATTATGCTCTGCTAGTGGGTTTTGGGGTCTCAAAACTCCTCCTTTGTTTCATTTCCTTCTATGTTCTGTGTGTAAATTGGTTTTTGTGTCAAGTCACAGCTAATCTCCGCAAATCGAAAACCTCAATCAGTCTGCTTCGGAGCTCGTTCCTCTGGAATCGCATTAACTTCGAGATTGCACTATTCATCAAGTTTCCCCACTAAGCAAATCTCCGTCGCTTATGCCAACACCAAGAGAACGGCTTGTGTTAAAAGCAACTCATAAGAGAGACTCTCATCATCATCGTCTTACTTGTTGTGAACAAGATTCATAGCTCCCAGTGGTGCTCACATTTTGGTCTGTCAAGATCTGGACACCACATTTAGTAACTTGGACATCATCGGATGTGGTGCTGAAGTGGAACAATACCTCGTTGTCATGTTCAAGCCATCTGGATTATCTGCTGTTTTCTTGTGTGGATCTTGTAGTGAGATTTTATGTCGTGATGCATACTTTCGCTCACCCTCTATATGTGCATATATTACAGGGAATGGATCTCTATTTAAGAGACATGATGAGCAAGCTGTGACTTGTGAAGACTTCTTTGCTGCTATGCGTGATGCAAACAATGCAGATTTTGCTAATTTCTTGCAATGGTAAGTCAGTTTTAAATAGTGGAATTTCTGTTGTGAATATTATTGGTGGTTTCATACTTCTAAGGATATACCACATACTACATTTTAGGTACTCCCAAGCTGGAACGCCAGTTGTTAAAGTGGCCTCCTCTTACGATGCTGAAGCTCGTACCTTTTCTTTGAAATTCAGGTCCTGTTCTTCTCATGTGTATTCTATTTTGCCATGTTTTACACCAAAACTTAATGCACTGCGTTTGAAATTTAAACCTCTATAGATTTTACCTCTACGGAATTTGTTGTTGACACATATTCTTGCTTTGTACTTGATCACTTTCCCAGTCAGGAGACACCCCCGACTCCATGCCAGCCAACAAAAGAACCAACATTTATTCCAGTAGTGGTTGGTCTTCTAGACTCAAGTGGGAAAGACATTACACTTTCCTCTGTTTATCATGATGGTACACCGCAAGCCATTTCAAGCAGCAGCACAATACTTCGAGTGACTAAGGTCAGTCGAGAATCCCTTCTTTAAACCAATACTATCTTTTGTAATTTATGTACACTTTCCTCTGTTTCCTACTGTTTTTTCCTCACCGTATGTATTGTTTATGTGCAGAAAGAAGAAGAGTTTGTGTTCTCTGATATATCAGAAAGACCTGTTCCATCCCTATTTAGGGGATTCAGTGCCCCAGTTCGCGTTGAGACTGATCTCTCCAGTGATGATCTTTTCTTCCTCCTAGCCCATGATTCAGATGAATTCAATCGGTATGTGCCTTTCTACAACATACTAGCTCTTCTTTATTCTCTTTGCGCATTTCGATCATTCAATTTTTTCTGTATTTTAGGTGGGAGGCAGGTCAAGTTCTGGCAAGGAAGCTCATGCTGAACTTAGTTTCTGACTTCCAGCAAAATAAACCGTTGGTTCTAAACCCAAAATTCGTGCAAGGTCTCGGCAGCGTGCTTTCTGACTCGAGCTTGGACAAGGTATGGCTCTACATTTCCTTCTCGACCCACGTAATCATACAAGGAAGTGTAGCATAAGACTTTGTTGTAATCTGTTTCTTTAATCTGTTCTGTAGGAATTTATAGCCAAAGCAATAATAATGCCTGGGGAGGGAGAGATAATGGACATGATGGCCGTGGCGGATCCCGATGCTGTTCATGCTGTTCGAGAGTTTGTCAGAAAACAGCTTGCATCTGAACTTAAAGCTGAGTTTATAAAGATAGTATGTCTTCTTCTCTCTACATAGTGAACCGTTCTGTGTTTTCTTTCTGGAATTTCTTTTCCACTGAAACTTTTCGATTGTTGTTTTTTTCTGCAGGTCGAGAACAATAGAAGCACTGAAGCTTATGTCTTTGACCACCCAAACATGGCGAGGCGTGCTTTAAAGAATGTAGCGCTAGGTTTGCATTCCAGATTTATAGAAGGAGATGATGCTCTTTTACTTCGAGTCACTCACTAACTTCATTATGGTTTGTTTTGTTGAAACACTCCAGCTTACCTTGCATCTCTCGAGGATCCAGAGTTTGTGGAACTTGCATTGAGTGAATACAAGACGGCCACCAATTTGACCGACCAGTTTGCTGCTTTGGTGTCTCTTTCCCAAAACCCGGGTAAAACCCGTGACGACGTTCTTGCTGACTTCTATGACAAGTGGCAGGACGATTACTTGGTATGGAGTTTCACAAATTCACTTGCCTCTTCCTCCAGGATTTACATATGCCATTACTAACATTTGTCTCGGCTTCTGATCTCAGGTTGTTAATAAATGGTTCCTCCTTCAAGCAACGTCTGACATTCCTGGCAACGTGGAGAATGTCAAGAAGCTTGTGGATCATCCAGCTTTTGATCTGCGCAATCCGAACAAGGCAAGTGAAATCTCAGAACTCAATTCATTCCGCAACCATTTGTTGTTTCTCAGTTGTATATAGGCTTACGATGAAACCAAACAATAATGATCATTCAGGTTTACTCGCTTATTGGAGGGTTCTGTGGTTCTGTGGTGAATTTCCATGCCAAAGATGGATCGGGTTACAAGTTCTTGGGCGACATTGTTGTCCAGTTAGACAAATTGAATCCTCAGGTTAACTTTGTGTCTTTGCAGTTACCTTTGTAGCTATCCTGGCAACAAACAACTTTAACGATGTATTTGTTTTCCTTTGGTCTGATGAGTATAGGTTGCGTCTCGTATGGTGTCTGCCTTTTCGAGGTGGAAGCGGTACGATGAATCCCGGCAAGCTCTAGCCAAGGTAAACGCAAAAAATCCAGTCTTGAATATTCTCTAAGAACACATAACAAACCGTTAGCATTATTACTGGTTCTGTGTCAGTCTTTGTTTTTTATTTGCCAAGTTTGATATTATGATTGGGTTTATAACCTGAGAAGAGGTTTAGTAGATTAAGCTGTGTTGTGTGTTGTTTTACAGGCGCAATTGGAGATGATAATGTCAGCAAACGGATTGTCTGAGAATGTGTTTGAGATTGCCTCCAAGAGTTTGGCTGGTTGAGAGAGAGACGTTAAGAGTCCTTTTAAAGACGTTAACTATTTTTAGTTAATGAAATAAGCAAATGGGTTATATAATAAAGTATCACAGATTGTTTTAACCTGTTAGTTTTTACTTTTTATAATGAACTCGTGCATTATTTATATAATCTGCCAACAGTGGCAAAGTCGTCATCATGCCATTCCTGTTGCATGTTCCTTTTATAACAGTTTACAAATCGTAAGTTCCTTTTGCATCAAAACAAAACCCTTTCACTGTTGAACAAAAATACAAAATTAACGAGTGAATGATTAAAAGTCTATATATATAGTACAACAAAATCACATAGTACATAGTCTGGATTCATCAAACTCATTGCTCCCATCAGAGAGACTTTCATCGTCGTCTGCATACAATTGCTTCCATCAGAGATACTTAAGACTCTCATCATCGTCGTCTTCAGAGACTTGTTCTGAACAAGATTCATGGCTCCCAGCAGAGAGACTCTCATCATCATCGTCGTCTGTCAAGATCTGGACACCACATTCAACAATATCGAATTCATGGGATGAGGTGCTGAATTGGAATGATACCTCGTTGTCCTGTTCAAGCCATTCGTCATCCTTACGCAATCCCAAATGAAATATACAGAGATGTTTTCTTCGGATATAGGGGAAACTCGCGAGGTCTTGTTCGTCAATAGGGCAACCGTTTAAGCTTATGCGCCACAATACATCAAAATCTCCCTTAAAAAGTCCTGATTCGGTATGCGGTTTAGGGGTAACCACGATGCAAAATCTAAATCGGTAGAAAGATGAAGAGATGGTCAAGGAGTTTCCTAGAGCTCGGTGATTGAACTCCGCAGGTATTTCCCATCCGGGTAAGCATGCTAGAGATGATTGCTGTGTAATCACTCTCCTTGCTTCTCGGCCCAATTTGTAGCAGTTGATGAACCAGAGTATCTCAATTTGAGAGTCAATAGGGAAAGATGTTATCGTCTCCAATGACTCGCAAGTGTCTACTCCTAGTGCTCTGAGCGAGGGAGGGAGCTCTGGCAGTGATGCAAGTTTTGGACATCCAGATATGTAAAGAATGACTAACCCTTGAAGATCTTTGATACGGTCTGGAATTCTCTCAATATCTGCGCCAATTCGCTCTGGAAGATCTTCCTCCGAAAGTGGATAGGGATAGATACTGCCGAATATAAGGAGACTCCGAAGGCGAGACCAAGGGCTAATTGTTTGAAGCATTTCTTCTAACATCGTGTCTGTAATTAAGAGTTTTGTGACGTTCCCGTAAATATCTGGATTTAGCCTCAATTGCCAGCATCCCATCACGAAGACTGATGGTGATGGTAGGTTGAAGAGAGTCGGAACAACCTGTAGCTTCATACAGAAACTCATTTGCAACTCTTCTAGCTTAGGAAGATTTCCAATTGATGAAGGAATCTCCACCAAACTCCGACAGTCGTTCAGATCCAATTCCTCGAGATTTGTAGCGCTTGAAAGATCCGGGAGTTCCTTTAAACACCGGGAAGATGACAAATCCATCTTCTTGAGATTTGTAAGTGGCTGAATGTAAAACAACACAAACAAAAGGAAGAACATTAACACATGATCGACATAAATTACTGTATATAATTATTTTGGTAAATGCTTTTCTAAGTATTTGAAAATCAAAACAAGATTCCTAAAAACTAGTTCAAGTTTAGTTATTTTAATCACTTCTTTAATAAGAAACTGGTTTTCACAGATGTATAAATGTTTCCAAGTTAAAACTACAAAAGGCTCAAATCAAATCAGTGAATACTTTTTGAGTTCTTTTGGAAATCTACACGTTTGATTTTTCATCTCTTAAGATTGGGTCAAAATTCTAGATAGAATTCTGTATAAATTAAAATCCATAAACTGATAAACATAAGCAAATACAAAACACCAACCTGGGTACCTTCCCAAAATTTCTCTAGCCTGTTATTTTTCATATTGAGTTCCACAAGATATTGAGGCATAAATGTACGAGGAAGATACTTCCCAGGGTATTCTTCCCAGTGTAATAGCCTTAGCTGAGGCGGGAAATCCATCTCATCGTGTATCTGCACTGTAACATTTGTATCTAGTCTTGTCTTGTAGATACTGATAAATCGAACATTAAGCATATTTCTAAAAGCACTTTTGCTTATATACACGACGTTTGGAATTGTGGATATATCCAAAGATATACCCGTCACATTTCTACTACCCTAAGCCAAATTTAAAAAAAAAAGAGAGCAAATGTTAGCACAATAGATAAAGAAAGTCTTTTTTAGCATTCAGCCGATTTAACAAGTATATTTAAGGGAAAAAAAAAAAAAACAAAGAGAGAACTTACATAATCAGTTTTGAGGACTTCACAAATCTCATGAGCATTAGTTAAGATCTGGCGCTTCGAAAGCTCTTGTCGTTCAACAGCTTCTCTAGCCACTTGTTGTAGCAACTTGTGCATCATTACTTTGCCTTCGGTTGATATGTGTATCAGAGATTTATAGGCAAGTTTATTTAACCCGAGTCTAACATCCAAGATGTCAGCGAGCATGGCCATCACGTGATCATCGTTTTCGTAGTTGAAGAAGAATGCAATGTGGAGAAACAGCGATTGATCCTTCTCATGTAAACTGTCGTATCCGACTCGAAGTACTAAATCAATCTTTCGATCAAGGCTAGTTTCTAGCCTATGCAATATACTTTCCCAGTCAACTTCTTTCTTTCCGCGTAAAGTTGAACCCATGACACGAAGACCCAGAGGAAGGTTGCTACAGATCTCTGTTACTCGTTCGACAAGCTTTTCAAAACAGCCTGGTGCATAGCTCTGTTTAAAAGCAAATCTACAAAATATCTTACTAGCTTCTTCTTTAGTTGGAAAATGCACATAGTATGTGTTATCGATACCATGTTGCTCCAGAAGCTCTTGATCTTCCGTGGTTATGATAATCCTGCTTCCAGGACCAAACCAGTTAGTTTCATTAGCCAAAGCCTCAAGCTGCTGCAGATCATCCACATCATCAAGCATTATAAGCACATTTTGGTCGCATAGCCTTTCCCGTATAGCACCTAAATGCTTTACACTCATACCGTTTTGGTTTAGAATCTTGGAAAGAAGTTGCTCTTGTAAGTGCAACTTCAAACCATACTCGTCAAGACTGCTATTATAGCTTCCCTTAATATTCTCCATAAAACAAGTAAGCTGAAAACTGCTAGAGAGTCGGCTATGTAAAGCCCTCGCAATGGTAGTCTTACCGATTCCCGCAGGGCCACAGATTCCTACTATCATAGCTTCATCCTCATCGTGTAAATGTAACAAAGACTGCATTTTCTGCAAATGTGCTTCAATACCCACCATGCCTTCAAAATCGCTACAGATTGTAATGTTTAGTTTGTTTGAAACATCAATGGCAATCTTTTCAATCATCTTCGATTCCTTATCCCTAACAAAAGAGAGAAAATCACCCTGTTTATCAAAAAGTCATATGTAAAAGTGATTTGTTGATTCTATTGGGAGATTTTCAGTAGTTGTAGAAATCAATCAGATCTTTCAGACTAATTAAGAAAGCAAACGAACCAGTTAAGGAAGTGCTCTCCAGCAATGTTTCCCACATCGGCCAAAGCTTGGCTCCATTTTCGCCTCTCTTCCTCCGTTCTGCGGCGACAAGTTTCACTGAAAGCTCTCCCGAATTCTCCGGTTTGTTTCCGAACATCAGAGGGATCTACTCCGTAGAAGACCGTCATCACAATTTGCCCAATATTTTGCTTGCACTTGAAGATCTCCACCAATTCATCCAAACACCATCCTGAAGAAGCATAGTTCTTCGTGAGCACCACGATCGAGATCCTCGATTCCTTAATCGCTTTTTTGAGAGCAGGACCGATGGTTTCACCTCTCTCGATCCCTTGATCATCGAACATCGAAATCCCATTGCAGCTAAACTGTTTGCGTAAATGACTGAGAAAGGTTTTACGCACGTCTGGGCCATGGAAGCTCGTGAAGACACGGTATCTCCAGGTACGACTCCGAGAAGAAGAAGAAGCCATGAGAGAGGTTATCGTGAGTGGTTCAAAATCACAGATTCACAGGCCATAAATGGTTGAAATCGGAGAAGATAGCAAACACGCACACTTACTGTTGACTCTGTTGACCAAGACGACTATAAGTTTCTTTTTTCTTTTTTTTTTCTTTTTTATTGTTGTTAAAGCGATGAAGTTTCTTAGCCAACATCTTTGAAAAGCAATCGAAATTTCAAACGAAATATCTGACTACAGTAAAACTTTATAAATTAATAATGTTGAAACTTCAAAAATTTATTAATTTTTTTAAAATTTATTAATTTATAGAGTTTTTAATTAATAGATAAATTATTAATTATTAATTTATCGAGAAATTAATATTTTATTAATTTATAGAGAGATATTTCAGTTTAAATTCAAAATATTTGTCAGAAAACAAAAATAATGTTTTCAATAATGTAAAATTTATTCAGAAAATATTATATGAGTGAATTTGAAAAATAAGTCAAACAATTTTTATAAATTTGAAACAATAATATAATTATATTTTACTATATTATATTATTTATATATTTTTAAAAGTATAATTATTAATTTATCTAATTATTGAGATTATATTTTTACATAGGAATTTCAAAAAAAATTATTATCTTATTATCTTATCGAAATTTGTTAATATTTACACTGGTCCGACTTGGAACCGACAAAAGTTATTAATTTATAATGATTATTAATTTATCGAGTATTAATTTATAGAAGTTATACTGTATTTTTTTCTGTTCTCTATTGGTTGTTTGTAACTTGATAATTCAATCGTTATAAACTTACGTTACAAGCAACCAGAACGGAAAAAAAAGTCAGATATTTCGTTTATTTTTTCTTCATTTACAAGACTTAAAAGACCTTTTGGCAATTTACAGGAAGCTGCAAACCTTGAGAAGAAGCTGATAAGTGTAAAGCACTGATAAGTGTAAAGCAGAGCAACCGAAGGCATAGTTGTTTAGTAACAGAATCACTGTCACATACTGAACTCTTAATGCTTCTTTAGAAAGTTATACAACAGAACACTTGAAATCAAACTCAAAAGGAAAGTATAACCCTTGAAGGTCTTTACTCTGGGTTCATCAAGCTCATTGCTCTTATCAGAGAGACTTTCATTGCCATCGCCGTCTTCAAACACTTGTTCTGAACAAGATTCATAGCTTTTGCTGGTTCCGTCCACCGCCAAGACCTGAACACCGCATTCAATAACGTCGACTTCACGGGACGAGGTGCTGAGTTTGAACAATACATCATCGCGCTGTTCAAGAAACTCACCGTGAAATATATAAAGATGTTCAGCTCGGATTTTAGGGAGATCCGTCTTCATCACGTCTTCGTCGCTGAGACAGCCGTTTGTGCGCATGCGAATCAGTAATTTGAAATACGCTTCTTCCATATCCGGTCTAGGGGAACGCACGAGACAAATCCTAAACTTGCAAAAAGATGGACGGATGGCCAAGGAGTTTCCGACAGCTCGATGATCAAACTCCGCAGGTATCTCGTTTCCGGGGAAGTAAGCTCTAAGTGATTGCTTGGCGATCACTCTCCTTGCCTCTGAACTCAATCTGAAGCAGTTGGGGAAATAGAGAAAGTGTGTTGGAGTGTCCAAAGGGAAACACACGGTCTCGAGCGACTCACAATTGTCTACTGTTAGTTTCACGAGCGAGGGAGGGAGCTCTGGTAGTGATGCAAGTTTTGGGCAGCCAGCTATGTAAATATATTTCAACACCGGAAGATCTTTGATCCAATCTGGAATCCTCTCAACTGTAGAGAGGGAGCTATGGGATTGATCCGTTGTTGCCAAAAGTGGCATCGTAAGAACACTGCCATATATGTTGAGAGACTGAAGGCGAGACCAAAGCCGAAATGATTCAGGAGATTCTTCTAACATCATGTCTCCGATAACGAGTGAATTGATGTTGGTCGAAACATCTGGAATTTTTTTCATTTGCCAGCATCCTACCATTCTGAGTGCTTCAAGAGATGGCAAGTTGAGTTGAGTTGGAACAACTTGTAGACTTGTGCATAGATTCATCTCCAGCTCCTCTAGCTTTTGAAGGTCTCCAATAGAGGATGGAATCTCCACCAAACTCCGGCAACCTGTTAGATCCAATTTCTTGAGGTTTGTAGCATTTGAAAGATCCGGGACTTCCGTCAAACTAATGGACCCAGACAAATTCATCTTCCTGAGATTTGTAAGTGGCTGAATGTAAAACAAAAGATCATCAACACATGAAACATGAAGGTATATATTCAAACGTATTATAAATACAAACCTGGGTTCCTTGCCAAAGCTTCTCCAGCCTGCTATTTCCCAAATTGAGTTCCACAAGATATTCCGGCCTAAATGTAGAAGGAAGACACTTTTCAGGGTATACCTCCCAATGTAATAACCTTAGTCGAGGTGGAAAGTCCATGTCATCGGGTACATGCACTCTAACATTTACATCACGTCTTGTCTCGTAGACGCTGAGAAATCGAAGATCACGCATTCTTGTAAAAGCTGCTGCGTTTATATTCACAACGTCGGAGATTGTTGATACATCCAAAGATATACCCATCAGGCTTCTACTATCCTATTTAGTATTCCAAACAAAATAAATGTTAGCACAATAGGTAAAGATCTGAGAGTCTTTTGCATATCTAAGTTAGAAAAAAAAGAACAACTTACAGAATGATTTTGGAGGACATCACAAATCCCATTAGCATCGATTAAGATTTGGCGTTCAGGCGCTTGTAATTTAACCGCTTCTCTGCCCACTTGTTGTAGAAGCTTGTGCATCACTATAGTTCCTCCAGTGGATTCTTGTATTAGAGATTTATACTCGAGGTTTTTCAACCCGAATCTGATATCCAAGTTACTGTCACTGAGCATAGCTTGCACACGATCTTTGTCTTGGTAGTTCAAGAAGCATGCAATGAGGAGAAACAATAATTGATCATTCTCATGTAAACTATCGTATCCGACTCTAAGCACTACCTCGATATCTTGATTAAGGCTATTTTCTCGCCTACGCAATATACTTTCCCAGTCATCTTCATTCTTTCTGCGTAAAGATGAACCCATGACACTGAGACCCAAGGGAAGGTTGCTGCAAAGCTTCGTTACTCTGTCCACAAGCTTTTCAAAACCATATGGTTCAGAGCTCTGCTTAAAAGCAGATCTGCAAAAGATCTCCCGAGCATCTTCTTTAGTTGGAAAATCCACATTGTATATATTTTTGATATCATGCTGCTCCAAAAGCTCTTGATCTTCCGTTGTGACAATAATCCTGCTTCCAGGACCAAACCACCTGGTTTTATCAGCCAAAGCCTCTAGTTGCTTCAGAGAATCCACATCATCAAGAACAATAAGCACTTTTAGGTCGCGTAACCTTTCTTGCATTGCACCTAAATGGTCTAGTTTCATACCATTTTGGTTCAAAATCTTTGAAAGAAGTTCCTCTTGTAGACCGCTCATATATCTTCCCTTAAGATTCTCCATAAAACAAGAAAGCGGAAAACTGCTAGAGAGGCGGCTATGTAAAGCTTTGGCAATGGTGGTCTTACCAATGCCTGCAGGGCCACAGATTCCTACTATCATAGCTTCATCTTCATCATCTAATTGTAACAAAGACTGCATCTTCTCCAAGTGCGCTTCAATACCCACCATGTCTTCAAAATCCCAAGAGATAGTAGCATTTAGTTTGTTTGAGACATCTCTGGCAATTTTTTCAATCATCTCCGATTCATTGTCCCTAACAAGTGAGAAAATTCACATTCACTTATCAGAAACTCATATGTGAAGCTGATCTAGAGATTCACCAAGAAAATTCCCCAAAATCGTATAAAGCAATTGAAGGAAAACAAACACACCAGTTTAGGAAGTGTTCCCCGGCTATGTTGCCCACATCGTTCAAAGCTTGGCTCCATTTTCGCCTCTCTTCCTCCGTTCTGCGGCGACAAGTTCCCTTGAAAACTTTCCCAAATTCTCCGGTCTGTTTCCGAACATCAGATGGATCTACGCCGTAGAAGACCGTCATCACGATTTGCCCAATATCTTCCTTGCACTTGAAGATCTCCACCAATTCATCCAAACACCATCCTGAAGAAGCATAGTTCTTCGTGAGCACCACAATCGAGATCCTCGATTCCCTAATCGCTTGAGTGAGAGCAGGAGCGATGGTATGACCTCTCTCGATGCCTTGATCATCGAACATCGAAATCCCATTGCAGCTGAACTGTTTGCGTAAATGACTGAGAAAGGTTTTGCGGACGTCAGGTCCATGGAAGCTCGTGAAGACGCGGTATCTCCATGTGCGAGTCCGAGAAGAAGAAGAAGAGGAAGAAGCCATGAGATTAGAGTAGCTAGCAAAGTCTCTGGATGAGCCATATCTACAGAAGATGTAGAAGTCATTCAGAACGCTGACTACTGCGAAAGAGAGATGAAGTTTCGTCGCTTCCTAAATAAATTTTTTCGGTGTTCGCAATTTTTTTCCCAATAAAAATTGCTGCTAATCCGGTTTTCGGTTCGATTTTTAATTTTTAACCGGAATTCAACCGGTTTTAATTTATGTTGTTCGTCTCTCTCGTCCTGAAACGAGAGACTGAGAAAGAAAAACCAATCAAAATTGCTGCTAATCCGGTTTCCGGTTCGATTTTTAAAATTTAAACCGGACGTCAACCGGTTTTAATTTATGTTGTCTCTCACTCTCTCGCCTCTCTGTATATCCCCATTCAGCTGCAGCGAAAATTGAGAAAAAAAATGCGGAGATCTGTTGTGTTTGCTTCGACGGTGAAGAGATTTGTTCATGGTCAAGGTAATCCTGGAACTGCTCTTCCTTCGTTGAATTTCTGTTTCCGGGCACGAGCTTTCTCTGTTGCCAGTGATGATTATAGAGAGAAGCTCAGAAACGGGGTAGATGATGCAATTGGTTTGTTCAGTGAAATGGTAAAGTCTCGTCCTTTGCCTTCCATTATTCGGTGATGCACTCGACCTATTCGGTGAAATGGAGAGCAAGGGAATTAGACCTGATGTTGTCACCTACAGCTCCCTCATAAGCTGCCTTTGTAACTATGGAAGATGGAGCGATGCCTCCGGCTACTAAGCGATATGATCGAGAGGAACATCGACGCCAATGTAGTTACGTTCAGTGCATTGACCGAGGCGTTTGCAAAAGAGGGGAAACTTTTGGAGGCCGAGAGATTGTATGAGGAAATGATCGGAAGATCTATAGATCCGAACATTTTCACATACAGTTCACTGATCAATGGGTTTTGCATGCAGAGTCGCCTAGAGGAGGCCAAGCGGATGTTTGATTTGATGGTTAGCAAGGGTTGTCTCCCAGATGTAGTGATGTATAATACTCTCATAAATGGATTTTGCAAGTCTAAGAGGGTAGAGGATTAGTTGGAAACACAGTCACTTACAATACGCCTATCCAAGGCTTTTTCCAAGCTGAAGATTGTGAGAACGCCCAACAAGTTTTCAAACAGATGGTTTCTGCTGGTGTCCCTCCTGATATTTGGACATACAACATTTTGTTAGACGGTCTTTGTAACAACGGGAAGTTAGAGAAGGCATTGGTCGTATTCCAAGATATGCAAAAGAGTGAAGTGGAACTCGGTATTTTCACTTAAAGTATTATCATTCAAGGGATGTGCAAGGCTGGGAAGGTGGAAGATGCTTGGGATTTGTTTTCTTGCCTCAGCCTTAAAGGAGTGAAGCCTAATGTTGTGACCTGCAATACAATGATCTCAGGATTGTGTAGGAAAGACTTACTGCAAGAAGCAGATGCCTTGTTTAGAAAAATGAAAGAAGATGGGCCTCTTCCAGATAGCGGTACCTATAATGCACTGATTGGGGCACGCCTTAGAGATGGTGAGTGGTGACACAGCCGCATCAGCAGAACTCATCAAGGAAATGAGGAGTTGCGGCTTTGCTGGAGACGTGTCAACAGTAAGCTTGGTCACTAATATGTTACATGATGGGAGATTAGAGAAAAGCTTCCTGGATATGCTTTCTTAATCAGATTGACTTGTGAGGTGAATCAGTAATTTTTTTTTTTTTGCTGCTATTCTTATGACAGCTTCTTGTATGCTAGTTATGTCTGTCCTTCATAAATTACAAGATCTGTGCTCCAAGACAGGGAAACTCAGATTTTAGATTTCAAAAGATGTTGTATTGTTTTGGTCTTTTCATCGTTTTTATTGAAGCTAGGTTGATTAATTTTAACAGTGAAAATATTTTGTACTTCTCCTTCGTAACGTGAAATTTTTCCTGATTTTCAATTTGAAAACTTGCTCTGGTTTATGGTTCAATGTTGCATTATGTATTGTTAATGTGCAGAAAGAAGAAGAACGAAGACCAATTCCAACATGATTTATGAGATACAGTGCTCCAATTCATCTTGATTTAAGGTGGGATGAGGCTCAAATTGTGGCAAGAAAGCTTGTGCCTTACCGTAGAAGCTTCTATAGTCAGTACAGTATGTCTTCTTCTATCTACATATTTAATGTTTCCAAAGCGAATCACTTGAGATTAGGGAATAAAGTTTCAGAACATTTATGTTTGTGAAGTTCTCAAGTTGTACAGAAATCATGGTTTGTCAAAGGAATGAGCTTAGTATTGTCATCTGATGTGTGAATGATTTCGGGTTTTTATCAGTTTCTGTATATGTTGTTTTCAGATATATTTGTGTCTTGTTTAATCTCGAGTTTACTTGGTTACTAGTTTTTGTGGTCAAAGTTTGAAGCCTTGCTCATGGAATAGGAACCATTGCCTTATATTATCATCATTGTATGCTCGAGCTTGATGTTGGTCCATCATATTAACGTCTGAAGAGTAGAATATCTGAAAGGTTTAAAAACCTGTGAAATTTTCAGTTTCATTTTCGTTTGAGTAGACTTAAGTTTGATGAATTCCATTTTATTCAGCTGTGAAGTGAGAAGGACAAGAACAGAGTTTGAATTTCATATGCTGCAGCTTTGGCAGGTCTCCTCTCACCCCTTATAACTCATATAATATCTGCTGATAATGTGCCCTTTTTTGTTTTTATGGGATCTGAGATCTCTCTCCTTTGTATCCTTGAACAATTTTGTTAGAGTTTAGAGATGGAGAGGGAACAAAATCGGCTCTGAATCTGCTTAGGACGATGGAGGAAAGCCACATCAAAGCCAATGCTGTAATCTATAATCATAGCAGTGTTCAAAACTTTTTCACTGAAATGCTTGAGACTGTGTCTTCCTTTCGTTGCAGCTGCTACTGAATTCGGTACGTATTTCGTTTCATTCATATCAATTTTGTCATTTGCATTGCTCCATGGATCTTCTCAACATGAATTTGAAATAGAGAGCTTTAAAGAACAGCTAATGAACATTCTTGGTATGTTTTAAGGGTCGTGAATCTTTCTTCAGTACATTTACAACATTATATTATATTATTCCAAACATTCAATTTATAATTATAAAACTTCAGGGTTTATAGAGCTGGTAGTAAAGGGTTTTTTTTCTGATAAGTTCGAATCTTGAAGTAGATTATATAATCTGACTTTTATTATTCTAACTTTTGATTTGGAATGGATTTTTTTTACTTTGGAAGAAACCTCACGTAAACTTCTTGTCCTTTTTCATCCAGCTTTGATGCACGTGAAATCTGGTGTCACGTTATCATCTCTCATTTGCTAAACACAAAAATGTTTATGCAATGTAAAAATTGAATTAGGAGGCTACAACAGTACCCCAATTTCATGATTATTATTTGTTGGAAACTTACAAAAATCTTTCCTGCAAGGTGGGTTGGTGACACGTGTCACAGCACGAGTCCGTAAGTGGGGTTGATGACCTAACTCATTGAACTTCCGACAGATCCTAATAAATCCAAGTGATGAATTGATAATTAAAACTTTTTAAAAAGGAAAAAATAAGCTGGACAATAATGTGTTTTTAACTTTAACGACGAGATTCTTTTGGATTTTCATTTCAGAAAACGACTTAAATCTAATTCCAAAAGTTCAATTTCGAATTCCTGATATATATAACTACGAGCTAAAATAACTTGTATTCTTTCTTTGTTTGTGATAAGATCGTATTTTAGTTAACGTAAACTTTATGTACTTACCTTGGCCTTAAAAAAAAATTATCATGTTATTATTATAAATGCCGAATATGATACTCTAGAAAGAGTTACATAGGTTTAAAGTTTTTGATGAAAATTAAGTGTTTGACAAAAAAAAGCGAGTTGTTTTTTTTGATAATTTTTTTTGGTAAATGTTGATATGTTTTGGTTAAATTGGTGTTTTAGGCACACAAAAAATGCGACTCTCTTATATTGGAACTAGATGTTGATGATACATATTGTAGGTTTCAGCTAACTATAAATTTAGTAAGAATTGATTATTAATTTTTGGCTTCAAATTTTCAATCAACATGATTTAAGTAAGAATTGATTTTTAATTGGTTTCAAATCTTCAATCAACATGATTAAAATATTAAACCAAACTGCAAGTCGTTTTACAAAAGAAAAAATTAGATTATTTTCCAAAATTAGGTGAAAGGCCTATCAATATCTAATAATAATTAAAAGAACATTCTTCTAACTTTTTCAATTGGTAACTTATCTCCTCTTTAAAAAAAATTCCTTTATATTCTATATTTTTGGGATAATAGACTTCTGAATTCTATTCAAAGGAATGCTTTATATCAAAAACTAATAAATAGTATATGAAAATTCAAAGAATCCTGGAAAAATCTATGTATTTATTAGATTTTATTGATTTTAATCGGTGACAGCTAAACAATTTTGCACTTGAATTACAATAACTGTGCCTGTCTTCCTTTTCTTTTCTGTGTAAATGCCTCAATAACTTTTGTCCCCTTTTTGGAACCAGGAATCAGTCAATTGTACAAATACCACAATGATTCTTATTTTTAACAAAGTTACAAAGTAAGCTAACAGTTTGTATTATAAAGTATATATATATATAAGTAGCCAAAAATGCTTTAATTATTGTTTTTTATATATTTCCACCAAAACCGAAAAGGATTTTTTAAAGAAATTCGTTTCATTATTGGGGTATAAGAAGATTGAAAAGTAAATAAGACCCATATAAGTCAAGCCACCGTGCAAAACAAGTTGAAATTGCGTTATGTCATATTATTTATATTCAAAATCTATCATTTCCTCAATAGTTTTTTAAATTAGATTTGTTACCTAGTTTAGGCCCACACTTAATGTGCACACGAGAACCTAAAACTAAAAGAGATAGATTCGATTCTCCCACACGTGCGCTTCTGTGACACCTTTCTCGGAAAAAATAACTAATTAACATATCTCTTAATCCTTTGTTTTAGAAAAAAATCTTCTCGTCATAAAAATATCCTAATATACTAATCTCATTTCAGCTGCTTACTTACAGTAAAATAGTCAATAAAATGTAAATCTTAAATTTAGAAATGAAACAATTAATTGAGAAAAGAAAAGGAAAGAAATATAGTCAAATTCTCCGCAAATTTAATGGACATAATTACCCTTCTAAATCGTATTTGCCGTGTTTTGACCAAACCTTAACACACACACACATGAACACACATATATATGCACGTATGTATGTGTATATACTGTATATATATTTGGGAGAGAAACATTATTCCCAGAAAATTCGGGTTGCGTGTCGTTATTTATAAATTGGTTTTTATTTTCCTCTCAAGATAGTTTGTTTTTTTGAAGCTGTGTCTACGAATTTCGAATGCTCTGTTTTGTTTTCTCGAGAAAATTATCAGAGTGAGAAAATCAGAGGAGAAAGAGAGATGAGAGGCGGCGCTAGTGGAAACAGCGTTCTGGAGACTATAAACGCAGCTGCTACTGCTTTTGCTTCATCTGATGATCGTGTTCATCAAGCTTCTCCGATTCGAGTGAGTCTCTTCTCCGTTTTCAATTTCATCGGAATTAGCTGGTTTTTCTCGAGATTTAAATGATCGGGAACTGTATGATGATTATCGTTTTCTCGTAAACATTAGATCGAGCAGTTTGTAGGCGAATCCCATCGATCTCCGATCACTCTCTATATCTATGTTTCTCTATTGATTCTGATTTCTCCGTTAATGGAATCAAACAGTGTTTCTTCTCCGATCATTCACAACAGAATTCAGAAATCCTCTCGATTGTTTTATGTGTATTTGTTCCTTTTTCGATTTCTCAAAAATCTGATTTCATACTTTTTTGAAAACAGAAGAAGCGAAAATGGTGGAGTCGCTGGAGTATCTTCGTATGTTTCAGACAGAGAAAACGAATCGGAAAAGCTTCTCTTGCTCCTGAACCGGAGGAACAAATGTCAATAACCGGTTCAACATCCAGTTCCGGTTATCGTTCGGTTATGACTGCTCTTCCTTTCATAGCTCCTCCGTCGTCACCGGCTTCGTTTTTCCAATCAGAACCTCCTTCCGCAACACAGTCGCCTGTAGGGATCCTCTCCTTTAGTCCATTGCCTTGCAGCAACCGTCCTTCGATATTCGCCATTGGACCTTACGCTCACGAAACCCAACTGGTTTCTCCTCCGGTTTTCTCCACTTACACCACCGAACCGTCTTCAGCTCCGATCACACCTCCTCTCGATGAATCCATCTACTTAACCACCACAACACCTTCTTCACCAGAAGTCCCTTTCGCTCAGCTCTTTAACTCCAACTTACAGAACAGCAACAATAGGTTTCAGTTGTCTAACTATGAGTTTCAGTTCTACCAACTTCCTCCTGGTAGTCCACTTGGTCAGCTAATCTCACCGAGCTCGGTTGTATCCGGTTCCGGTCAAACTTCTCCTTTTCCCGACGGAGAAACCGCCCGGTTCACTCACTTTGAAGTCTCTGATCCTCCAAAGCTATTGAGCCCTGAGAAACTTCTTTCCTCCAAGAGTGTTACAACTCCTACAGAGCAGAAGATTGTGAGACAGCCGCATAAACCGGTCTCGTTCGACCTTGATGCGGATCATGTCATCAGATGCGTGGATCAGAAGCTGAGAACAACGTTCCCTGAAGCATCCGCGTCGTCTGATCAAGAAGCGATGGATGATTCTTCTCTTGGATCGAATAAGGAATTCAATTTCGGCACGGATGAGAAACATCTGACCGTTGACGAACATAGAGCTTCGAGCAAGAACAGCAACAACGACTGGTCCTTCTTCCCTGTGATGCAATCTGGTACGCTTAGCTAACCTTCACCAGAAGATGTAGTTACATAGAATCTAAATTTAGAGATTCGATTTGGATACAAAAGATCTTGTTCAAGATTTAAGAACGAAATCAGCTAGTGATCTTATTAACTCCTTTTTTTTTAAAAGTATGATGTTCTTATAAAGATTTTTTAGATGGTTATGTTCAGGATCTTAGGGGATGTTTTCTTCTTATCTCTCTTTTTGGTTTTGTAATAAATATTTGATCTTGTTATATGTGGGCTTTGTCTTTTTATGTAGTTTTTTGTGCATACATTTGATCGCTTTTGTAAACATAATTTCATTTTTTGTTTCTTCAGAGAAATTCCAATAAATCTTTAGATGTTTCAGTTTTTAGTTCGTTTATGAGATCGAACCAGTCCGAATCGGTGTGGACTTCATTGCGTAATATAACAACAATTACTTCAAAGGTTAAATCTCTCCAATGTTGTATGTCTTTGGCGATTACTGATCAAGTATGTGAGGAAGCATGATGACAAAAAGCTAGTGCTTGAGTTAATGGCTATCTTAGGTTGAACCATAATATGCACTGCAAAGAAAAAACAGAGTAAGCTGGTAAGAATGAATACTAGTAGACATTAATCACACACCCTTTTGAATTTTTGACACATGACAAGTTAGACTGGGCCAGCTTGGAATCCAGTTTCTGGTTCAGTGCCATCTAAACCAGTATGTAATTGGAGAGTTAATATATAAACCAGTGTCAAACCCTAAACCAAAGTCAACAAACCCTAAACCTAAATTTTAGTCACCTTTAACTCTTGATATCTTTTTTTTCCTTGATATCTTTTTTTTTATATACAGCAAGTTTCCTTATTTCTTTTGAATTAGGGTTTAGGGAAGCTTTATAAATATACCGGCTTATGGTGCAGGATCAAAAACAAGTTTCTGAGAAATCAAAGCCGTCTTTTGCTCCAAGTAGCAAAACTTTAGAAAAGAACAGAGATATGGAGGATCATAAGCAGACTAGTTTCACCTTTGAGATAGATAACTTCTCTGAGAAGGAATCTGTGATATCATCAACAACATTCGTAAGCGGCGGTTGCGAATGGTAAAGGAAAAGAAGATTTTATATGGCGTTTTGATTTTTAACTCATCGCCTTGACTCTAGATTCAGAAAATAACTGAAAAAGCATATGAACTCAGCAAGCTTTATATTACAAAAAAAACTCCGGCTAATCGAGTTTTTCTTTATCATGAATCTGATCAAAAAAGTTACAACCCTCTTTTGATTAGTTTTACTCAACCATAAGAAAAAGCTTTCTGAACTAATTTTTATGCTTGAACGGCTAACCCTAGCGAACTCCTCTTAAGAGGATCCTCTAGGTTAGTCTTGCTTGATCCGGACGCCTCCGAATCTTTAATATCTTCTTCCTTAATTTGACCCGTGTAATCCGCATCGCACTTGCCACTTGACTTCACTAAAAGCTTACACTTTCAAATTTCAATAACTTTTTGTTATAAGATCGATGTTATCAGATGTACAACTAAAGCGTTTTTTAAATCTGTTTTTGTTTGTTTGTTAAGGTATGTTAAGGTTCATCCCAAAGGAGATCACATTGATGATCACTTGTCTATGTACCTCTGCGTTGCGAATCCTGAATCATTACGGTTTGGATGGAAAAGACGAGCTAGTTTCTCCATCATTCTACTGAATCAATCCGGCAAAGAGCTCTACAGAAAAGATGGCAATTTTCACTTAACTATCTTCCATTTATATATAAATCTATCTGATTGTTGAGAAAATAAATTTAATATAACCTTTTTCTGGTTTTGTTCTTACAGAACCGTTTTGCCAACTGTTCTGCGCTCAGTTCACACTAATGGGTTGGCCAAAGGCCGTGCCTCTCGATACACTTCAAACCCTTCAAGAAAAAGGTTTCTTGGAGAATAATAAACTCATCGTAAGAGTCGAAGTGAAGGTAGCTGAAGTTGTTGATGAAGGATCTGTAAACGGAAATGAAATGTTCGATGTCAATGGTTTCCAAGTTCTTCTTTCTCAGGTATTATGGTATTACAAGGTTGAGGTTGGTTCGCTTTTCATAGATTCGGATCTCTGGTTAACATAATTACATCTTTCTCGGGTCGATAGGTGCCTTCAGTGAGTTGGATTTTCGTGGAACACCCTGACTTTGCAGTGAATCTTAGACCAAAGAACCAATGGGTGAAGACAACGTACATGAATATCTTACTTGGTCTAATCGAGACATTGAACAAGCCTCTACATAGCTTCACTGAGGCTGAGGTAAGCAACGCTGAGAGAGATTTGATCGAGCTGACAGAAGCAGGCTTTAAGCTAGACTGGTTGAAGATAAAGCTTGATGACGTTTCCTTGGGGAGGAAGAAAGCAAATGCTGATGGTTTTGGAGTCCAAGAACTCGTACAACACATCAATAACCTCAAAATTGAACTGAACAAGGAGCAAACGATATCTGCTGCTAAAATTTTATCATTGGAGCAGACAGTGTCTCATCTCAAAGATGAGCTTAACAAGAAGAATCCCTAAACACTCTAAACTTCCAAAATTTGTTTTTTTTTTAGCAATTAATTTGATATTACTTGCACCGACTTATGTCAGATTCCTTTTTTTTTATGGAACCGACTTGACTATTTTCCTAATTCCACTATTATTAATCTTTCCTTTCTAGCTAAAGAGTTAAATTAATAACTTGACCTCATAAACTTTCTTACCAATTACAATTAACAAAGCAAACTCTCTCGTTACCATGAAACTCAAGAAACAATGTATGAAACTCTCTCGTGATCACTTTGATCAGATCCCTGATGATCTAGCGGTGGATATTCTCAGTAGATTGTCCGGAAAATCTCTTATGAAGCTCCGATACGTATCCAAATTTTGGTTTTCGATCATCCGGAGCCAAAGATTAATCGATTCTTTCATCCCTAGGTCATTGAAACGCGGTTCCCGCTTCCTAATCGCTTTCAATAACTGTGAGTTCGTCGTTAAAAAAACTGATATGCGTTTGTTCTTCTTCACAGTTTCAGACGACGAAGGAGAGAACAAATCTTCTCCTTCTTCTTTGGTAGCCAGTCTCGACATGACAATACCTTCCACGGTTGATTATCACTACACACGAGGTTCAGGTACTTTAGCTCATGGCTTTATATGTTGCTCATATCAAGACCGGTTCTTGATTTTTAATCCTACCACAGGCCAAATCGTAACCTTACCGATTGTGGAGCTAATGATGATGCAAAGAAGTTGACTTATAAATACTTGGGATATGATCCGATTGATGATCAATACAAAGCAATGTGCATGACGGTTTCTCGGCGTGGTCATCATGGTGGTGACGTAGAGCACAAGGTTTTAACACTAGGAGGAGGAAGAGGTGATGTTAAAACACTATCATGGCGAATAATGGAAGACAATACCGAGCCTTACGTTCCTTACACAAAAGGAACATGCATCAACGGGATTGTGTATTACGGTGCTACAAGACCAAATACGAATGGAGTTATAGTTTGTTTTGATGTTAGGTTTGAGAAGATTAGTTTGATGAATCCACCTTTAAACATCAAAAGTTGGGAGGTTGGTACAAGCTTGATCAACTACAAAGGGAAGGTAGCCATTATTCACACAACCCCTTTGCGTGATTCATATGAGATTATAGTATGGATACTAGAGAATGTCAAAACACATGAATGGTCAAAGAAGACACGTTTCTTTCCGCATTCTTCGTCGGATACTATCGACATGAGTTCCTATTCTTTCATAGGCATCAACGAAACCAGAGAGATCATATTAGCTCCAAAGTTGATGCCACGCAACCTTGAAGCTTTCTACATATTCTATTTTGATTTAACAAGCCAAGGTATCAGAAGGGTTAGGGTTGAAGGACTTGCAGATGATGAAGAGTTCAAGCGTCATTATGGAATCGGAAACAATGGTTCTTGTCCTGTTTCTATCTCATCTGAACACTTTGAAAATATTACCTTTTTTTAAATTGTTATTCTTTGTTGATCTTATTTTTTGTTCTTTCATACGACGAACTTTGGTTTTTGTTTAAAATTTTCAGACACTAAGCAAAACTGGCGTAGATCAAACCGAAAGCCATTGCTCCTTTTGACTCTAGAGTTTTGTTATTTTTAGAGCCAACAAAGTGAGATTTACAGCAGAAGTTAAAAAGTTTTCTTCCTTATTTGTTATCTTAAACTCCACACCATGATATGCCATTCAAAGTGAAAATAAAGAGTAAGCTGGAATGTGAGTAAACATGATGACAAGATAGATGCTAGTGTTTTGAGTTAATGGCTACAACAACAATGGGCAAGTAGTTATTATTCCCTCGTTATTAGTAATAGTTTTCTTCCTTATTTGTTATCTTAAACTCCACAACATGCCTTATAACTGTCTTGCTTCCTATCTTCACATGCAGAACTTGCAAGAACACATAATGGCATTGATACTGGTGCGATTGATGACATGTTCATGCAACCTCCCGATAATCCTGACTTCTATACTAAAAAGGCGTACTTAGAACAGGTGATGAGCGAAGTTAAGCCTTGGACGATATTTCCTTTGGTGGATTGGATTTTGGCACTATGTAGAGAAAACGATGAAGAAGATCGGACACAAGTGATCTCTTATCTCTTTTTGGCCAACTGCAACAAGCTGACAAATAGCCAATGAATGATTGTCATCAGCTGTTGTCAACTTGTTGCTTAGTTTTAGATTCATCGATAAAACTTTTGATGCTTAAATGTGGGAAGCAGAAGAAGAGCTTTTGTGTATGAGTGCCTAAAACGCATTTAGACTTTCACAATCTCATTTTGAGCCGGATCCAACATGTTTCCAATTCTGTATGTAATCTGATTTGGAAAATAACAAATTGTATTATTGTGAAAACTCTGTTCATGAGCTCGTTGAAAAAACATTTTTGTTTGAGTTTTGTTAGTTTTATAACTGTGAGAATTTGGTAATTGATGTATGTGTTAGCCTGTTAGGTGGTAAAGTCTATTGTACATTGTAAACAGTACTTTTTAGTTTTTTTATAACAAAATCAACAAAGTAATCGTACGAGTCTGATTTCTGATGTGAATCTTTTATATTAGTGGGTAATGTTAATCAACAAAAAGCACAAGGTGATCTATTTGTTGGCTTCATGAGAACAACAAATAAAGTAATAAACAGATATTATGTTGTGTCTCAATGATGTGGAAACAAAAGAAAATACAAAATATTGAAAAAGAAACAAACCACCCCCACTTTTAAATCCAATTAATGCCGTATTTTAAGTTGAAGTGCTGCTTTCCTCATCTCAATATTCTCTATCATTCATTGGCAACAAAAAAAAGTATTAGAGCATTTACTAGTTTTATTTAAATAGTTTTTTTGTATATCATCTAATAGACGACTGATATAAATAGTTTTTCTAAGAAATTTATTAGAAAATTTATGATACTTTTTAATTTGATTAAAAATTATAATAATTTTTGATGTTTTTTTTTTAAACTAATGAGTATATTAACTAAAAAACGAACAAGATTATAATTTTTTTTTATTCCATTCAAATCATAAACAAAGTTTTTTCTTTTAATTTTTACCAACATTTAAATTTATTTGTATAAATCAATTTGTATGGATCGAAAAAGTCTTTGTCTTTTATTAATATTTATAGTCTAATTTTTACCAACATGTTCGAGTTTTAGCTCAGGATAAAAAAAGGTATTTGTTTGTTAAAGAGCTGTAAACTTATAAATTCAGCTAAATACTTTTTCTACTAAAATAACTACACATATTCCATTCAACATTTCATTCCTTTTGAAAAACTCGACATGTTTTGTGGTATTTTAATTTCATCCTATTAAGTTGTATATAGTAGAATGATATATACAATGACACTAAACCAAAAAGTTTACGTAATGAAGTCTAGGAAATGAGTCTTAAAACTAAAGTTAATTATTGTCAAATATCTAAACACGAAGTTTTGTTTGATTAATCTTTTTCTGAATTATTGTGTTCTTGTAGAGGAAGTATATTATGGGTAGACATAATTTATTCGGATTACGCGTGGGAATTGTATTTTACCAAAAAGGTGTGAATTGTATGATTCATGTATCATGTTATAGCTATTTCATTATATTTTATTTATTAAATAAAGTTTTTGGCTCACCAACTTAAGTGGCACTAATGGCATTGGCCCCTTAAGCTGCAGTTACCTTTAATTTATGTAGCCATATATGCATTATAGCTGCCATTATTGTATCTATCTTTGTACATGTATTTGTTATCACACACACAAATATATATGGTTATGACAGTTCAACTTGTCCCATCATCTCATTCAAAACATTTGACATGAGATCATAAGCAATGTGAAACTGTAATTGTACGAGTGAACTTAGTTTCTTCTTATTCTTAGAAACAGAAAAAATATACGAACATTCGCATGGAACCACACAGATATATGCATATAATACATCTGATAAGGTTATAGGATTAGTAAATGAGTTCAAACAACTACTGAACTACAATCTGAAACATATATAAGAATTAAAAATGAGACAGAATATTAATTACTTTTCACTTCATATCTTTGTCTAAAAAGAACAATACACTAATATTTATAAACGATATAACTGAATAATTGAGTGAAATTACACAATAGTTGCTTTCTTTCGCAAATAAACCATATATGCTAGCAAACTATCAAATCTATTTGGGTCAACACAAACTATCAAATCTATTTTCTTTTCTTTTGTCTTCGTCTTCCTCAATCTAACGTGATCCATATGTTCCATCCCAAGTCCCAACCCATCAAAACATTTGATATGACATACTTGGTTGTAGTCAATGTTCATAATAGCCAGCATGATGAGAATCATCTTATTAATTAATTGCGTTTTATATATATAATTAATCGCTACCAAAAACAGTTTTGTTTTGGCTATACAAAGAAACTTACATTTGCTTTCTGGATCTTAATTTCCAGAATAACTTTTAAATTCAATTTTCCACATGATTTTTTAGAATAGAACTCTATGAATTCGTCATGTCGTAACTCTATATACAATTTACCACTTAAAATATTTACTTAAAAAATTCGTCTATTTATATACGTGTATAATTAGGAAGATTAGATGATCATAGACAACATAAGAGGAAGAAAAACAAAAGGTGGGTTTAATGTAGGTGAATTAATGTATACAATATTAGGTTACGAGTTACGACAACCACAATGGCAAAGCAAACATAAACACTCTACACAAACAGACACATGCAATGCAACTACGTCCCATTCTTCGGGACATGATAATTATCAACAACGAATTTGGTGGCCTTATTAATTTCTCATACTTCTCTTTTTATAGAAAATATTTTTAACATTATATCATTTTTGTTTTCTTATCTATAAAACGTTAATACAACTATCTTCCCTTCGTCACACACACTCACACATCTCTCTTCTTCTCGTCAAAAAAATGGACGGATCAACGGCTGTGATCATCCTCACCGTCGTCGTAGTATATCTTATGTGGTTCGTCTCTTTACGCCGTTCTCTTAGAGGTCCACGTGTCTGGCCCTTACTGGGCAGTCTTCCAGCACTCATCACAAACGCTCACCGCATGCACGATTTCATCGCCGAGAACCTCCGCACGTGTGGTGGCACGTATCAAACGTGCATTTTTCCGATCCCGTTCCTAGCTAAGAAACAAGGTCACGTGACCGTCACGTGTGACCCGAAGAATCTGGAGCATATACTCAAGACCCGGTTCGATAATTACCCAAAGGGTCCTAGCTGGCAATCGGTGTTCCACGACCTGTTAGGAGACGGGATCTTCAATTCAGATGGTGACACGTGGCGGTTTCAGCGTAAGACCGCCGCACTGGAGTTCACCACCCGTACGCTACGCCAAGCCATGGCTCGTTGGGTTGATCGAGCCATCAAGAACCGTCTCGTGCCGATTCTCGAATCGGCTTCAAGCCGAGCCGAACCGATTGATCTTCAAGATATCCTTTTACGGCTCACGTTTGATAACATTTGTGGCTTGACGTTCGGCAAAGATCAACGGACGCTTTCGCCGGATTTTCCGGAGAATGGATTTGCCGTGGCTTTCGACGGAGCCACAGAAGCTACGCTTCACCGGTTTATCTTGCCGGAGTTTATCTGGAAGATCAGAAAATTGCTTCGGCTCGGCTTAGAGGACGACATGAACCGAAGCATCACCCACGTGGATAAATACCTATCAGAGATCATTAATACACGTAAGCTCGAATTGCTGAATCAGCAACGAGAAGGGTCCCACCACGACGATCTATTGTCACGGTTCATGAAGAAAAAGGAATCCTACTCGGATAAGTTTTTAAAATACGTGGCGTTAAACTTCATCCTAGCTGGACGTGACACGTCATCAGTTGCGATGAGCTGGTTCTTCTGGTTGGTCAGTCTTAACCCAAAAGTAGAAGAACAAATCGTAACCGAGATCTGCACCGTTTTGATCAAGACACGTGGCACTAATGTCTCAACGTGGACCAACGAGCCGTTGACTTTCGACGAAGTTGACCAATTGGTTTACTTAAAAGCGGCACTGTCTGAAACATTGAGGCTGTATCCATCCGTACCGGAAGATTCGAAATTCGTCGTCGCCAACGATGTTTTACCGGATGGGACAATTGTACCGGCCGGATCAAACGTTACATATTCAATATATTCGGTGGGACGAATGAAATTTATTTGGGGTGAAGATTGTCTCGAGTTTAAACCGGAAAGATGGCTCGAAGAAAACGACATAAACCGGAACCAATACAAATTCGTAGCGTTTAATGCCGGTCCACGGATTTGTCTAGGTAAAGATTTAGCGTATTTGCAGATGAAATCGATTACGGCATCAGTTTTGCTCCGGCATCGGCTTACGGTGGCTCCGGGACATCGAGTGGAGCAGAAGATGTCGTTGACGTTGTTCATGAAGTTTGGTCTTAAAATGGATGTGCATAAACGCGAT